TACAACGACTGCGTGTCTCCTGTGCCTGCATCACTAGATGAACGAGTAGTAACCCTAATTACTATGTAAATATGTTTGATGTGCTTGATTCAGATTGCTTTGAAGTGAGTGAAGTGGTGTTGAAATGCATGATGATGAAGAGGCAATGACATAAGAGGATAAGCTCTCCAATCTTTGATGATAGTCAAGATAATGAACTTGGACCCAGCAGGGTAAGGCGTAAACAGCGTCGACAATGGGAAACATTTGTACCAGTTGCAGTGGGAGGGGGGATACTAGGAAATATACATTCCATCTGCAGTGAATGAGTTAAAAGTTGAATGTAATATGATGACTTGTGCAAAAAGGGTTAATTTCCTCCTCTTTTTTAAAACCTATGAACTCTCATCCACTACTTCTACTTCTTGTATGAGTGACTAATTTCCTCAAACAGTTTATAAAGTAATGAGAGCTTATGTACACATATTTCACAGGGATGACATGGTGGCCATTGTGGATAGGATAGTGGGTTCTCTTATGCTGCCAGATACTACAGCTTCAGTCCCCTCATCAAGCATTCCTTCCCCCACATTCGTGGGGTGAATGAGGAGGACGAATGTTTTTGTTTCTTCTGCTTAGACTCTGGAAAATTCTCTCCCTGTGGAAGAGGCACTTCAACTTTCTAGCATTTTCAGGCTTGTTTATCAGGTATGCACGTTTTTTATTTCACCTGTGTTATATTATTTTCCTGTTCCCTACTTCTTAATCCTGAGCCTAACTTATTTTGTTTACCATTCGTGGACCACTTCCGTCCTTGACATTACACTAGATTGCCCATGCCATCTCCCACTGTGTTTGTATGGGGGAGGGGTGGACTTTGGGCGTGGGTTTCGCCTTTCGGTATCAAATACCTTTGTTTTTTCCTGATCCCTTTTACCACACTTCTTTCGCTATTCTCTCTACACCTCAAGTCTGCTACACTGCACCATGCTCCAGTGCATTTTCAGGTGTTTTTCATTCCCTTCATTTCTCTACTGTGGTGTTCCTCCTCGTATTTCCTGATCACTCGCAACCACATTCCTGGAGATTCTTGGATGGGAACTTTCCTACCACAAATTTACTTCTTTCTTCCATTCTTTTGGGCCTTTACTTAGCCCCTTTATTAAATTTGCCCTGAAGTTTGGTGTTTTTCTAAATTGTTTGAATCACAATCTGAGGCTGTCCATCATCTATTCTCACTTTCGTCAGCACTATGCATCCATAATGACCCTCTTTGCCATTTCTCTTGGTAGTACCCTCTGGTTGGCATAACCTTGGTCTCTACTCTATGCATCATGATAATCCAACCCTTTTCCTTTGCCAGTTCTACATTCTATTGCTTCAACATTTCTTGTTTCCTTCTGCCATGGAATCTTGTCCTTCCAATTGGTTGGATTACCCTTGGTCTCTACTCTATGCATCCTCATAATCCAACCCTTTTCCCTTGCCAGGTCTACACTCTATTGCTTCAACATTGCTTGTTTCCTTCTGTCATGGGATCTTGTCCTTCCAACTGGTTGGCTTATCCTTGGTCTCTACTCCATGCATCCTCATAATCCAACCCTTTTTCCTTGCCAGTTCTACACTCTATTGCTTCAACATTGCTTGTTTCCTTCTGTCATGGGATCTTGTCCTTCCACCTTGACCCTCGACCACTACCTCCTCTTTATCTATTTTTCCCTGTTATGTGATTCCCACCTTCCTCTTCTAACCTAGCATCATTCCCTTGGAGCTCATTGTGTTGTTCCCATTGTGTTGGGTTCTTCTGGTGCCAGACTATCACAACTTGAATGCCAGTGGTCACAATTTTCATCCATTCTAGGGATTTCTACTTTTTACTCTTGAGCATCCTTACATTTTCATTCCCCTTCAGCCTTCATCTTGTCTCGTTTTCTCCTTCTGCTCCCATCTATGTTCCCTGTTCCTTTGAAGCTGTGCTCTTCACCATTTACAGCAACTCCTCATTCCCAATCAATATCTTATTCACAATAGTGGTGTTTTCCGGTCATTCTCGGGTTGGAAACAGCCTCCTTTTATCTGCCTGTAATCAAAGGATTTTGCTGTCATCGGGATTCGATTTTGTCTTACTCATTCTGCATGTGCAATTTCCTGTTAATTCATTGCATTATGGTGACTACTTATCCTTTTAGATCATGCTCATATGTACATCCTTGGTTGCTTTTGCATGATAAAAGTGAAGCCTCATGAGATTCTTTGACCTTAATCATTCTCCTGTCTATTCCTACATTCCAATCCTTGTATTTTCTATTCAGCACATGGTCTCAGGATGAGGCCTCTTTCCATGCTCTTGATCGTCCTGTAGATGGTTAAGCATGATCCTATTCTTACCTCTCCTAATGGTTCATTTCGTTTGATTCTATTTTAAGAACTCATTTGGATTCTCCTCAGTTAGTCACAATTTGGTGATCCAAACCATAAACCCTTGCTTTCAAACTCTGGGCCTTTGTTCTTGAGCCTACTCTCATTGGGTCAGTTTCTTTACCTGCCAGTACCAGGTACTATGAACTGGATTGTAAGCTGCCTATCTTGGCTGCACAATGTCTTGCTCACACAATGTTTCTTCACCCCCAGTTTCCTTTGGGGTGCTCTTTTGAGGACTCTACTCTTTTGCTTAGCCCACCCCTCGCTTTTATGCTTTCTATCTTCTTATCATTTCACCATCCCTCAGTGCTGGCTATTTCTGCCTTCTACCAGGCCTGGTATTTTCCTTGTATAGGCTCACCCATTTTTCTGGCCTTTCCTCTGGGTTCCAGCCTTGACTAGTGACCCTCTTTGTCATTTCTCTTGGTAGAATCCTCTAGTTGGCTTACCCTTGGTCTCTACTCTATTTATTCTGATAATCCAGCCCCTTTCCCTTGCCAGTACTACACTCTATTGCTTCAACATTGCTTGTTTCCTTTTGTCTTGGGATCTTGTCCTTCCACCTTTACACGAGTTTCATCTACCCCACCTGGTGATCCTTTTGCTTCGGGACATCTTTATACATGGTCCTTCTACCTGAGTGGTGGTCATGATTTTCGGTGTTCGTTCATCAGTCACCACTTCCTTCAAATAGTTCTACTGATAGATATCTACCTTCCCTTTTTCCTGGCGACAGGGTTCAGTTAGCTCTGCTTTGCCTGTTAGCTAGCTTGTTACTGCAAGGTGTTTCTTCTCCTGTTCTTCCCATCTTGTTGCAGTCCTTTATCCATCAACTCTCTTGCCATGCTCCTTGTACTTTACTGGGACCTTGGTGTTATCCTGCACACTCTTACATGTGCCCATTCCCGCCAATTAAACCTTGAAAACTTCTATCACCTTCTCTTCAGACACATTCCTCTATTTTCCCATTTATGGTTGCCATGGTTCACATCTTAATGCTGGCAACTCATCCCATAACTTATCCATTGTCTTCAGATTTTTAGTTATTCTGACAAGTCCTTCATCCCTTGGTCTTCAGCCACTCATTAGGGAGACCTCTACTTTTCTCCTCCCTCCTCTCCTTCTAGTACCCTCTTGTATGCTTATTGGGACCCAGATAGACGTTTCTACCTGGTTCATGCTGTTCATTGCTATTTTACTCGCAACTCTTATTTTTCAAGTTTCCATCTTCTACTATACATTCCCTGGATTTCTCTTCCTACTGAGATAAATCTCCTTTTGCCTTTATTGGTACAATCTGCCAAATTCTTAGTTCAGTCTCCTTCTCTTTCCTGGTTGTTGCTCAATGACGTTCAGTATTTCATCCTATCAGATTCATTTTCTCTCTTATCCTTTTACTACTCATTTCCATCCATCATTGGACAAGATCTTTGCAGCTGGCATGTGGACTGCCTGCCTTTGTGCACTAGAGATGGACCAGAGTTGACCCACAACATTTGCCTTCCCCTTGCTAACATTGCTAGGATGTGGGGTTCTTTGGTGGCATATTGGTTGTGAACTAGTTCTGCATACATGTGCCCTGCCTAGGTTCTCGGGACAGAAGCTAATTTTCCTTTCTGATTCCTGGTTATGAAGTGAAGATGATTGGAATCCATCCCTCCCATGAAAGAGATGACACATACCTGATGCCACCTGGCTTTGGACTATAGTTGGCCCACCAACTAGCTGCAATTATCTCATATTCAGTTGCATTGAGGTGAGCACTTACAAACAAATTGTGCCTTTCTCCTGTAAATGCACTAACTTGTCTTGCCTTTCTCCTGCAGCTGGTGTAAGTCAAAGTGTCTGCTGGTGGAGTTGTGGCAAGACACGGCAATGTCATGTATCCTGTATCCTGTGCATGATGGTAGAGTTGAGAATAACATGCACTAATGATTTCTATGTCCTCCTCATGCAGCCAATATTTGTCCAATACATCTGCCACTACAGTTCAGGTGAGCATTAAATATGGTCTAAATGTGCTCCAACTATGCTAAACATAGCTCTCCAATTTCTTGTGTGCAAGTCCTTTCTGTAAGGAGCTCATCTAGGTAACATTTACACTGGTCGCTCCATCATGAGGAGTTCTAGTTTTCTTTGTGCAGAGGTATATATCACCTCAGAAATTAATTTATTTTACCTGAAAATGTAATTTTATAGTTACTCACCTTCTCACACATTTCCCACCATTCTTTCTCTTTTCTCTGTGTCATGTTCATTTTCTTGTTCTCTACTTCTTAATTCTAACTCTAACTAATTTCGTTTACCTTTTGCTTGACCATTTACGTTCCCGCAACCTCAAGCCTCACCCTCTCATCTATCTGATTCTTATTCTCAATTTTAGTAATTCTGAATCCCCCTTTCTTGATTCCCACATTGGGAATCACTCTTGCATGTGTTAGGGGAGCAGACTATTTGGTGTCGGTTTTTCCCTCCAGTGCCCAAGTCTCCTGTCTTTGCCAGATCCTTTATATAATATTCCTTTACCTCTCCTCTCTACACCTCAAGTCTGAGGCAATTCACTGTGCCCAAGGGAATTTTGTAGGTGATTCTCCTTCCCTTCATTTCTCCACTCTGATCTGTTCCGCCTCTTCTATCCCAAGTTCACCATCTTTCTTCCCTTCTATGAGATCATAATCTGGCCCCTTTCTTTGCCCTGAAGTTTTGGGGTATTCCTGATTTGATTGAATCAGAGGCTGAGGCTGCCACCAACCTTTACTTTCCTCCTTTGTTTCCACGCTCTACCAAACCCAACCCTTCATCAATGTACCTCAATTTAGTTCCCAGTTCCCGTCTTTCGATTTCCACTTCCCAACTTTCCTCCTCTATCTGTGGTTCCTTTTGATGCCTGGCAGTTGCACAGTTCCTTCGACACAGGGGATACTCTATATTTTACCTTATTTTCAATTCTCTTCTTCTTCTCTTCTCAGCCTTCATCATGTTTCCTTTTCCTCCTTTTCTACAACATCTGGGAGAGGCAGTGTTTATTAACCCTTCCAAAATTATCTTCACTCCAATTCAATATCTTATTCACATGGAAGTGTTTATCAACTCACTTTTCAGTTGTGCTCAACCTTCTCACATCTGCTTGTGGGCTATGGAACTACTAGTCACCAGGATTCACGTCTATCCTACTCATAATGCATGAGAGGGTTTTTTGTTTGGAGACCGTGATTTCACTGGAACTGCTTTCCCTTTGAAATGCACACATATTCACCTCCTCTGTGCGTCCTTGGGAAATCTTGACCTCAGCAGTTCACCTGCCCCTCCTCTTCTCAACTTTGTATTGGTAGATCTCCACTGTAAGGGATATTACAAATAAAATCAGTTCTCTGCCAATGCTACAGTATTCAATGATCACTGACAGAATACAGGATATGTCTGGCACTAAACAAGAGTTAGTTTACCTCTGCTATGTAGATTAAGATATGATGCCACATGAAGAATTAGTAGGTCTCTATGAAATGTCTTAGAATATCCAAGGTTTCCACTGATGACTTACTGTGCTTTAATGTACCCCTTTCTGGTCTTCTTGGGCAAAAATATGTTTGTACTGCAAATATTTCTCTCCAATACTCTAATGCACTGACATTTCTTAGAAAAGATCAGTCAATAGTTTTTAAGTCCATTGTGGTCTTCATTGTGTAAATCTCATTTCTCAGGCATCTTGTACAGCCTCTTCTGTAGTTTGAAAATTCTTTGTAATAGGTTGGGATGCTTGTTTGAACAATCGTGAAAATTCAAGGTAATGTTTGGGGTAATATCAAAGTCTGAATGTGGACCTTGCACTGCTTTGAAACCATTGTACCCCACAAGGTGAACTGTTTGTTTCCTAGCCATTATGACCCTAACTATTATGAGCCACTGTTGCTTAGTTTGGAAGAGATGGCTTCATCAGGTTCAGAAAGTAAAGCAAATATACTCCTGGAAAGATTCCAGAAGAGGAAAACAGTCTGAGAACTAATTCTAACCATTGAAGTGATGTAGGAATTGGAGCACCTGAACATTTCTTTTCAAAAGGTAACATAAACCACTGCTGGAATGCTTGCTACAGTGAAATGTGTCAAAGTCTCTTAAAGAAAAAAGAACAGAGAAAAGTTTTAGCAAAGCATTCAATAAAGCAACAGGATTAATCATCTCAATTATCCAGCCAATTCAAATGCCACACATGAGAAAACCACCCAAGCACTTTACTAGTGAGTTTGTTGCACATGCATCAACAGCTCCTTTTGAGTACCACATAGCTGAGTACTGAAAGCAGCTATACTCAATAGATATGCAGTTCAGAGAGCCTTTTGACCAGAGAGACTTGAAAAAGTGGAGAAAGTTCTCTTCAATGGAGAGACTGACAATGTTTTGAACCAATACCCAGAGTTGACCAGGAAGTCATTACATGTGCAGTTAGCCTACAATTCCAGCACTGAAGCTGTCTGGGGTGCATTGGCATATTGCTCAGTTCAAGGCCTTTATGAGGTTCTTACTAGTTGTCCCTGTTTCCTCTGCTGAAGCTAAGAGGAACTTCAGTCCTTTTTGAAAGCTGAAGACCTGGTTATGTAATTCAATTAAACAGTTGCCTGAACAATGTGTCCGTTTGCCACATTAATTAAGAACAACTTTACCACTTGAAAAGGAAAACACTCTGCCAACAATTTATTGTTGCAAATGACTAGTGCAGGGATATTTTCAGATCTTTTCGTGTTATCTACTGGTTAGTAAGGACAATATGAAAGTTAACTATACAGTAGGTTAAGCTATGGCGAAAGAAAAGAGAGACCTTGTCAGAATTGCTTTGTAAGATGTTTTACTATAAAGCAAAGTGCATGTTTTGTGAATGTTTTTTTTACCATGGTGGTTATTTTATTTGTATACCAAAACAGGAATTTTCATAACAAGAAGACAATTTGTGGTATTGCCATACTGTGCAAATCCAAGTCACAAAATTAATATTTGTATAAGTTGTAGGAAATGAGGAACTAATACATAGAAATTTCAATTGCTGCAACAGCCAAGATATATATATATATATACCATAACAGAGAGGTACAGATACAGTGCCTTGCAAAAGTCTTCACCCCCTGTGCTGCTAATCAGTTTTAGTTATTTTGTTGTAAAAGACATAACACAAATAGCCAAAAATATTTATTATATTAATCTCAGGCCAATTTCCAATGAGTACAAAGAACAACAGGTGCATTGTTACTCACCTGAGTGATAGAACACACAAAATCTTGAAAACACGTGTTGCAAAAGTCTTCACCCCTAACATGATTATGCAGTTAATATTTGTTTGAAGCTCCTTTGACAACAATGACAGCTGAAAGTCGTTTTGGATAACCCTCCACAAGCTTTGCGCAGTATGCTAGAGATTTATTTTCCCACTCCTGCTTGCAGATATCCCCCAGTTCTTGTAAATTGGAAGGATGTATTCGATGCACAGCAATTTTCGGTCTCTCCACAGAATTTCGAGTGGATTTAGGTTTGGCCTTTGGCTTAGCCAGTCAAGGACTTTAATTTTGTTTTTCCGAAACCATTCTTGGGTTGCCTTTGATCTGTGTTTAGAATCATTGTCCTGTTGAAATATAAACCTTTGAGCGACTTTTAGTTTTTCAGCTGACTTCTTCAGGTTTACCTCCAACATCTGTGTATATTTCGCACTGCCCATGGTCCCTTGAATGCGTACAAGTTCTCCAGTGCCAGCTGCATAAAACCAGCATTATGGACCCACCAC